CTTATAGGAAGGACACAGGGACACAGGAGGGAGAAACCTATTATTTTTCCTATGTGTAGATCCTTTTTAGCTGGTGATTTTCTCATTCAACCAACAGTTTTGCTTTAATGGTCAATTGAGGGAAACTTGTTGACTAGACTCTCTTCCTCTTCTCAGTAACTACTAATTTTTTGGAGCACTTAATTTGTGTTGGGTTCTGTGTTAAATGGTTTGCATTCATCATGTCATTTAATCTCCACTGGAGAGATGTGTACATTCTATTCTTGTCTCCATTTCACAGATGGGGAAGCAAGCGCTCAAAGAAGTTAAGCAGTTAGCTCTGGACGCAGCTAGTCAGTTCTGGAGCTTTACCCTTGGCTTCCCTCCTGCCTCTACTGTCATCTGCTTGTGTCTGCCCAAAACTCCATGTCATCAATGATTTTAGTCACCAAGTGTGATGGCCTTTCCTTAGAACTATTCCTCACCAATTTTCCTTTTGGTTCTCTTTTTTCTTAAATTTCTCCCTTTTCTGGCTTCTGTACACTGGTTCTCTTCAGATGCTCTCATTCTTTTTGAGCTGTCTCCTTCAACCCCACAGGCTTCTCTTGCCATACTCTTTCTTTGCGTGGTCTTGCCTCTGACAACCATCATCACTTGAAGGTGGGAGCTTTTATTTAAATTTTCTCTTAAGATGGAGGCAATCGCTTCTAATTTCCTGTTCCAGCATTTAGTAAGCAAATATTTGTTTTTTTTTTTTTAATTGACAATAGTTAGTGGGCACCTACCACATGCAAAGCTTTGTTCTAGGCATTGATGAGAATACAATGGCTAGGACAGGACCTCTGGGGCAATGGGATTGGCTTCATTTTTGTTCACACAGCTCTATTGCTGGAGCTTGTCGTAGGTGCTCGGAATATATTTGTTGAATGAGTAATTTAGTTGGGGAGGCAAACTTGCACATAACTGGCTCTAATTCAAGGTTGAATGGAGCAAATGCTCTAGTTAAGATGCCAGAAGGTGCTGAGAGAGCCCAACAGAGTAGGCAAGCAAGGGGAAGTCTTCATGGAGGTGACATAGGCATTCAGCCTCTAAATCATCCTAAATCTTAGCAGTGTTCAAGAAATAGCAAGTGAGGCGTGACTGGTTGGCTCAGTCGGTTAAGCATCTGACTTTTTTTTTTTTTTTTTTAATTTCTTCAGACGTTTGTGTACCTATCATTTTATTTTTTTTTTTAATTTATTTATTTGACAGAGA